ACAGATGATCCAGGGTCTGTGGACCAGGCTAAATTTCAGTCTTTGTCCTTAGAGTAATGTGTAGCAACATAATCCTTGTTTTTAGCTTTCACAGCATTTGCAGGATGAAACTAAGAGTTTCTTGTGATTTTTATTTATTTTTTATTTTTTTTTAAGATCTGGACTCAAGCCCAGCTCTCTTCTTTCTTTCTTTTCTTTTTTTTTTTTTTAGATTTATTTATACAAGCACTGGGTACAGTCAGAAGCGCGGGAGGGTGCAATAATTCACCAGAGCCAGGGCGGGGAGCAGAACAGGCAGAAGGCCCGAAGTACACTGCTGAGGGGAGCAGCGGGCGGCAGGAGGGGTCTGCGCACCATGTGGGACCCTCCTCTGGTGGCCAGGGAGCAGCGGGGGATCAAAACAGCACTGCAGAGGCTGTGGGCAGCTTCGCAACCCAGCATTCAACCACTGCGCCACCAGGGAGGTCCCCTCTTGTGTTTTTTAAATAAGAATGTCTCAAAAAAAAAAAGGCTCATCCCATGCTCCCCCCCAGAAAACTTTTCCTCGTATGAATTACCTCTGCATTCTGCCAGTAACTTTTACATTATGCATAGGAATATAATAAAAATGAACATACGATTCTGCCTGACAAACATAAAACCAAAAAAAGTATTTGGGGATTGAATTTATTGAATAAATAAGATTAACTGAATGTTGATGGAAGAACAGTTAATAGTTTCTAAAAGTATATTTTTATATATATGTAAATAAAAGGTCTATTTTCTTCTGAATAACGTTGAAAACATATTGATCAAGGTAATATATAAACATAATTAGGACATTTCTAGAAGAATCTGGGTGTAATACTGCCGTGGACCAGCGCAGCAGTAGACGATGAGGCCGTCTCAGGGTTGAGAGAAGCGCGCAGGGTGGTCAGGGAGTCGGCGAAAGAAATGACACACAGACACACTTCTAGAGAATGAAAATCTGAGTGTAACTTTATTTGAGTTAATGGCCAGTATATATATGTTTTTCTAAAGGCATAGGATCAGTTATCAGTGAACTAAACCAGCTGGCTCATAGGTTTAGCTTATCATTGACAGGGCAGTGACCTACATCCGAAGTTACATCTGGACCTAGTCACATTCCTAGGTAGTCAGGCTAATAATCTTTCTTTTGTTCTATGTAATTACTTTTTTGTTTTAATAACTATTCACTACCACTAACTTATTTTACCTTTTATAATGCAATGCTTTTTTATTAACATCAAAGCTATCATAGCTGAGCACATAGCCTAGAAATTACTAACCATTCTATTATTATACAGAGTTTTGTAATGTTTCATTTGAGTTAGTCCAGTTATTAGATTACATGTGTTTTTTAATCAGCAACCAATGACCTTTTTAGACCAGGAAAAAGAAAAGATTTTAGTAAGGAAAAAGAAAAGATTTTAGTAATACAGTTGCAGTAGAATAAAGTTTGTGGGCCTTGAGAAAGCGAGATAAGGTTCTGTGTGGTCAGCATCCCTTTTAAGTCTTTGTGGTGGCTTCTGGTAGTTGTTATCTCTTAGCAGGCATACGGCTTCTCTGCATCTTAGGGAGTTTGCTGTTCTCCCCCTGCGCGCATGGTTCCTTGCCCACACTGGACCTCAGGGACCATGGCAACAGCCATTAGCCCTGAAGGTCACTGCAGGGGGGAGGTGCAGCATAGTACCATTCAAAATTCACAGTTCTTGAGATCACGGGGTCATATCTTTCTCAGTCTAATAAAAATATCATGAATTGTGTACATCATTTTGGTAAGGTTTTAAAGAAGTCATCACACAGGCATCATTGAGCAAACCGGAATCTATTCAACAGTACTGAGCAACACATTCTTATTTCTGAAATACCACATTAGATATATGAAAATTATCAATATTTATATACTAAGAAAAGTGATAGAATTTGTGATTACTGAATAGTGTAAGTCATCAGACTCATCCAGATACTTTACATCTGAGAGAAATGTGTACTGTTACGGATCATCAGATAAAATCCAGCTGTACTTTAATCCCATTTCAATCTATCCTCACAGAAAATATTGACTCTTTTCCTGCAGACATGCAGCTGTCAACTATCCAACTATGGGTCTAGATTTGCATTACGCTTTTATTTCCTACCTGTTCCTTTTCATCTAAAACACTTGTCCCATGAAACAGCATTCACTGTCTGAATATGAAGGCAGGAAGAGCGGTGTCATCAAACCTGTTGGATAATGTTCATGGGCACAACAAATAATATTGGCTAAATTTAAGGGGATGTATTTCTGTTTTTAGAAGTGGCAAAATCACTACTTATCGCCAAGCATTGTTAATGCCATAGTTATCATTCCAGTAAAAATTTCATTTCGTACCAATATGTATGATATTCTGCCCCCCCCCCAAGTAAAGTCTTTAACACATTGATATACCCACAAAGTATGTGCACTTGATTGAAAAGTAGGTGAAGTTACAGAAGCTCCTAGGGAGATAAATAGACTGGGATTTCTGGAAATCTTAAAGATTTGTAAGCAATAGCAGAAAGTATTCTTATTGTAAAGATTAGTGAAGACCCACAAGATTGTGGTGATCATTAAAGCCAAATGTAGCAGTTCAATGTTGTGCCCACGTCGACCAGTGCAGCCCCCAAGGACACAGACAACCGATGCAAGGGCACAAAAGAGTTTAATACGGGCTCGAGTCCGGGCCCTCAACACGCACCGATGCAACGGCAGAGGTCGAGAGCCCCGAACAGAGGAAGCTGGGATATCTTATAGGGTCGCGAGTGGCGGGAACTTTGAAAGAAGCTGGCAATTATTCATTGGCTACTACAAAGGCATTTTGGCGTGCGCGGTTACAGTTTCAAACTGATTGGACGGTTAGAGATGCTGTCCCATTTATGGACAGGACTGCCCTCATTGGCGGCTGGGGTGGTCTGCTTTTTCATCACCAAGTGGAGTGAGGGTTGTGACTGCTGAAACTATCTCTGGAATGCGGCTGGACAAGGACTAACATATCAAGGTGGAGGATATACAAAATGGCAAAACCTCAGCTAAGCTTGGTTCCACATTCAACAGAATAAAAAATTATTTCTTATGAATTCTTTCTTAGAACAGTTCTCTTGAACCATTTTTTTCCTGCTTGGTCTTATAAGAATATTAGCAACCTCTGGCTCACAGATCAATTATCCTAGATAATATTGTATATTATATCAATTATTTGGATGTGGACTAAGAGGTCATTGAGAAGGAACATGAGCTTCTTATCATGTCCAGAGGTAACATCTGTCACATTTGTTCACTTTGTATTGGGAAGAACGAGTCACATGATCACTCATAACTGCACAGGAACTGTGAAAGCTACTTTTGCATCACTAATTTCAGGCTATAACTATTATGGAATTGAAAAAGGATTTATAGGTAGCTTCTTGTCTTTAATATAGAGAAATATTGCTATTCAATTGTTCTGAACATAAGAGGGTGTTTTTGTTGCAGGTTTTGTGGGGTTTTTTGGTCTGTTTATATATATATATATTTTTTTAAAGCGACAGTCTTTTTTTTATTTATTTATTTGTTTGTTTTGTTTATACAAGCACTGGGTACAGTCAGAAGCGCGGGAGGGTGAGAGAATTCACCAGAGCCAGAGCGGGGAGCAGAGCAGGCAGAAGGACCGAAGTACACTGCTGAGGGCGGCAGGAGAGGTCTGCGCGCCATGTGGGACCCTCCTCCGGTGGCCGGGGAGCAGCTGGGGATCGAACTGGCGCTGCAGAGGCCGCGGGAAGCTTCGCAACCCAGCGCTCAACCGCTGCGCCACCGGGGAGGCCCTGGTCTGTTTATATTTTGCCTGCTCAATTTTCTGACCAACTAGGTACATATAAAGCCCCAAAATGCAAATTAACTCATATTGGGAACAATAGAATGAAATAAATCTGCAAAAACAAGGTCAGTATATAGAGCTCATCTCACTAAACAGAGGAAAGAATTGAACTCAATATTCTATATCCATGTAGAAAATGCTTGAATTAAGGTGAATGCTTGAATTAATGCTTGAATTAATAAGGTGAACAGATTTTTGACTTTGAGATTCATGTAACATTCACAGTGATGATACCCTAAAATGTCATTTATATTTGACTGCATTACAAAGACCCTTTATATTTTTGTGTACAGTGAATAATATTCTCAATTCTGAGTCTTATAGGAACATCCAGGGAAAAGAAATAATGCCCCAGGCAAACATGCATGAACTTAATTAGCATCATAGAGTAAATGCCACATTTGGCCTTATATGGTGGCAGCCCTGTATGAGTCACTGAAATGGCTTTAAAATGGAAATGTTTGCTGATAGCCCCTGAAGTATTCATCTTTTTCTCCCAGCAGAAATACTCAGTGAGTACAAAGGAGATTAATTTTTTAAGATGTATTTATTTATTTATACAGGCACTGGGTACAGTCAGAAGCACAGGAGAGTGAGAGAATTCACCAGAACCAGAGCGGGGAGGAGAACAGGAAGACTGAGGAAGTACACTGCTGAGGGGAGCAGCGGGTGGCAGGAGAGGTCTGCGCACCATGTGGGACCCTTCTGGCAGCTGGGGATCAAACCAGCACCGCACCATGTGGGACCCTTCTGGCAGCTGGGGATCAAACCAGCACCGTGGAGGCTGCGGGCAGCTTCACAACCCAGCACTCAACTGCTGTGCCACCAGGGGAGGCCCACAAAGGAGACTATTTTACAATAATATACACATTCATTTCACAAAGCAAAAGGAAAGTAAGAGGGCTCATTTGCATGTCTGGACCTGGGATTTCTTGCATAGCACTCCAACAATACACAAGAGTCTTGCCAAGTCCCCATACCAAAAGCTTTCCCTATGGTCCTTGAGCCCCAGAAAATGGGTGATCTTGGCTCTCTTTTCCTTATATAATAAATTTCTTCTTTTCTGGATTTATTGGACTGCTTTCTATGGAAATTTTCATCTTTCTCCAATTTCTCTCTCTCTAGTCTATAGGTAGAGTGTACCAATGATGTTCCTGATGCTGGTTTTCATGGAAAGTCTTGTAGAGTTATCCTTTCAGAACGCTCAGGTAACTGCACCAGGATGAAGTCCAGATCCCAGCACCTCTTAACAAGTTTCTGTCATGGACCGTGCATATGTGGGGATGGACCCAGCTTACATTTCTGGAGGACTGTGGTGGAATGAGAGGATGAAATAATGCATTCAGAATAGAGATAAAATATACGGGTCACAAATATCCTAACCTGCAGGATTCTCCTACAGAGACAAGAGAGTAGAAATGTTCTTCCCAAACAAAAGCTGAAGAAGTGGAACACTAACAAATCTTCCCTGAAAGAAAAGTTTAAAAGAGATCCCTTGTATAATTTAAAGAGAAAAGAAAAAAAAGAAAAAAGAAAAAGCTGAGCAGGGAAGTAGAACCAGACAACTAAAGTCAAAGTGGCAGTAGAAGATCCTCTATAGAGCTCACCAATCCAAAGGCAGAGAGAGGACAGCCAAGATTGCACAGTCCCCAGGAGACCCGTCTGAGCCCCCAAAATAAACACAGGCTCCTGGCTCAAGGCTGAATATTACACCAAACCCCGGAACAGACTCAGGGATGTCAGAGTCTGGGCCAAAGTGTATTGTGCTGCACCATGATGTGGAGCCGAGAGCCTTCATTTTTCTCACAATGTATTTTGAATAGCAGCTGCTTTGTAATGTGTACAATAGGATCCATTTCCAGATCTGCAGGTAAATGATGTTTTAGTCGTGCTTTTATTTAATTTTTTTAAGATTTATTTATTTTTATACAAGAACCAGGGTACAGGCCAGATGCACTGGAGGGTGAGAGGATTCACTAGAGACAGAGTGGGGAACAGAACAGGTGGACTGTCTGCAATCCACTGCTGAGGGGAGCAGCGGGGAGACAGGAGAGGTCTGTGGCAACCTGCGGGTCACCTTCCTGGCTGGGGATGTGATGTTGGCACCAGATGATGTGATGAGTCCCTTCATGGTTGCCAAAATGTTGTAGGTTGTAGAGTGTGTGGGGGTCCCGGGGGTCACTCTGGGAAAGGTGCCCCCAGAGCTCCCATTACAGCGGGACACAGCAAGTTCCCCAGCCACGTTTCTCCACAAGACAGAAACACTAGTTACATTAAAGGGCAGATTTAGGGCCTCCCCTGCTGGTGCAGTGGTTGAGTGCTGGGCTGAGGGGCTGCCCATAGCCTCTGCAGCGCCTGTTCATTCCCTGGCTGCTGGCGAGGGTCCCACAAAAAAACAAAACAAAAAACAGGGCAGGTTTATGAGGGAAAGGGACAGGTTTCGCTGAAAGAGGCCTGCATGGTTGCAGGCGGGCGGCCTTGACAGGTCACGGCAGGCAGGAGGCTGCTGCCCTGCGGAGGGAGAGAGTTGGTGAGAAGAGGCACCTGCGTAGTCACGGGTGGGCAGACGGACGGCTGCCCTGAGCCCGTGCAGAGACTGCCCTGATACAGCCCTTTTCTCTTTGGGAGGGTCACTCTTCCATGGAGTGGCTGCCTGTTGCTGATGTCGGTAACAGGCAACACTAGAAAGGGACCAGAGATTCCAGGGTGGGCCCAATCTCCATATCCTTCCCCTCAGGCCTGTGCGCCACTCCCTAGAATATCGGATCCTGCTTGGGTCTCTTGCCTTGTGACAAGGCACTGGCGCCTAAGGGTTCGACCCCCACCTCCTTGCGTGAGTCAGGTTTTAGTCACGTGAGGCCTCCCTTTCCAGTCTTTCCATTCTTGCCCTCCATCAGATGGAACTCGTGCAGCAGAGGCTTCACAGTGCTGTGCTTAATCCCTGCGCCATCAGAGAGGCCCCACGCCTTGCTTTTATGTCAGCTTCAGGTAAGGGGATTTTTAACAACGATTAAAAAAAATCTTTCCCAGAAATTCAAGCAACCTTGTTTGCTGTTTTAATGACTTGTGGATATTTTAGGGTCTGGCTGCGGCAGACACTGTTGGTGAAAGGCTGGGAGTCCTGGAGCTTGCAACAGACCTACCTGTGCCTTCTGCCCCAGCCCGCCTGCCCCAGCCCACTGTGACCTGCTCATTAGCTGGAGTTATGTTGGGACAAGGCCTGGGGGTAGACTAAAAGTTTCAGGGAGTGACTGGCCAGGAGCCTGACTTGTGCCCCCCAGATGACCAGGTGAGCTCTTAGAAGTCTCCTGCTTCTCTACTCCCTGCTTGCTTCAAGTTGCAAATGTGTCCCTGCTGGGGCCATGGGTACTCTGTCGCCCAATGGCTCAGGGCTCGGACTTTGGAAAAAGATCACCTCTGGGCCTGTGGGATAAATAAAGATGAAAATTTTCCATAACCTCTCACAATCTAAAAATCAAAAGGTAGATGATCCTAACTCTAAATGCAAATAAAGCGAGATGTGTTAAGAATTGTATTTAAAACAGGGCCTCCCCTGGTGGCTTAGGCGGTTGAGCGCAGAGCTGTGAAGCTGTCTACAGCCTCTGCAGCGCCAGTTCGATCCCGGCTGGCCAGAGAAGGTTCCACATGGCACAGCAGACCTCTCGTGTCATGCCCGCTGCTCCCCTCAGCAGTGCATTTCAGTCAGTCAGTCTGCCTGTTCTGTTCCCCACTCTGTTGCTGGTGAATCCTCTCACCCCCCACATCTCTGGCCTGTACCCCAGTTCCTGTGTGCATAAATAAATAAATCTTAAAAGATTATTTATGCACTCAAGAACTGGGTTGTAAGCCAGACATGGTAGTTGTGTTTGAGAGGATTCACCAGAGACAGAGTTGGGGGCAGAACAGACAAACTGACTGAAACACACTGCTGAGGGGAGCAGCAGGCATGACACAAGAGGTCTGCTGTGCCATGTGGGCTGCTCCGAGGCCGGTGGGATTGACCCGGCGCTGCGGAGGCTGCGGACAGCTCCACAGGCTGCGCTCAACTGCGCCACTGGGGAGGCCCTAAAATACATTTTCAGTGGAAATAGTAATTTTAATTTTGGAAATGACCTAAGGAAATGCTTTCAAATTCCGATAAATCTTTATGTGTAACAGTGTTCAATAACACTTTATTTACAGTAAAATGATTCAAAACTATCCAAATAAAAACCCCCAATATACACAAAATTAAATGTAAAAGCTAGATACAGTAACACTGAACAGTCTTTAATGGCGTGGAAAGTCCTTATGTTAGTGTTAAATGTTGAAAGTGGAGAATCCTGGCAGTGCTGTGATCCCACCACAGAAGAAACATTAATGACACACCCTCTCCTTACCCCTCACGCGGGAGGAGAACAGAGTGAGAACACCTGCAGGGAGCGCGCGCTGTGACACCGCAGGGAGAGTCAACAGTCCAGCCGCATCCAAAATGTGGGCTCGTCTTGCCTTCACACTGCTGAGTGACATCCTGTTATAGGACAAGGAGAGGGGCAGCCCAAGCCCCGCAAACCTGCCTATTCTAAATGGGTTCTGCCATCCGCCGCATCAACACAAAACATATGAGACTTTAATGGGAAGGAACTTTAATAAAACTAGGAAACAATACAGGTAAGGCAAAGAGTCTAGTTTCTAAATGAAGCACCCAAAGTTACCCGTCCCCTCGTGGGTAAAACTCCATCCATATGGGATCGGCCCAGAGCAAGGCCCCAAAGCCTGCCACAAGTCTAAAGCATCTTCCAGTGGGGACCCACAGAAAAGAAACAACCAGACAAGCCCGGAAGGAAAAGAGCAAAATCAACATCAAGATAAAAGCTGCCATTGTCACCTCCCCACGGGTCTCACCCACATCTGTGTCACCCAGTCCACGACCAAAAGACAAGCGCAGTTTCTTCACATGTCTCTAGGCTCCATGCGCCTCCTCCAGGTCTCCTGGCTCCATCCTGCTTCCTTCCTTCCTCAGTCTCTTCTGCTGCTTCTCCTCTTCCTGCTCAGCTCCACCCTCCCTTGGGTGGGGCAGGGAACCGGGAACTTCCTCCTTTCCTGGGGACCACCCTGTTACAATCCGACACAGACACAACATGATTAATTTAAATATTAAACATCACACAAAGTTAAAATCACACGTTAATGATACAGACACCCCCGCCCCCCCCTCACCCGGGCACCCGCCCTGCCCTTCCGCTGCTGGGCCTAGGGCCGGAGGGGGCTCAGCCCAGAAAGCTTACAACGTGTGCCCCAAACGCCCCCTTAACCCTGCGGGAGTGAAAACGGCCCGCGGGACAGAGGGGAGCCCGCCCCGGGGGCGCCCTCAGGGTCCCGAGGAGCCGGAGGGAGCCCGCAGCCGCGCAGTTCACCCTGAGGGACCGGCCCGCCCACGTGCTCCTCAGGGCCCAACATAAGCCCCGGAGCGCCCGCGTCCAGCCCTTCCCCGCCGCCCGAGTTCCCTGCGCGTGGCCCCGTCCCCGCCTCGCCAGCCCCACCGCGGCCCGGCCAGAGAGTCCGCGGCCCCGAGAAGGACGCAGCGTCCCCGCCCGCTCCGCTCTCCTCGCCCGACGCGGTGAGCGCGGCCGGGAAGCGCCTCCGCTCCCGCCTCGGCCCCGCCGCCTCCTGAGTCTCCGGGTCCGGGACCCGCGCGCTGCCCGAGAGGGGAGAGGGGCGCGCTGGGGGGCCCTGTTGGCCTTGGGGAGCCACCGGTGAGCGGAGAGGATGGGGAGAAGGGGGGACGCGGAGGGCGGCTGGGGAGCCTCCTCCCCGCAGCCTCTCTCGCGTCTCCTGCTCCAGCCGCACATCCAGCGCCGGTTCCTTCCGTGTGGGGGCTCCACAGAGGCGGGGCTCAGGCTCCCCCCCCAGCAGGAAGTGAGTCCAAGGGGTCACCTGCACCTGTGGCCCCGGTCTCGGGGGTCGCGGCCCTTTCGCGCCCACGGAGCCGCGTCCGGGGAGAGCGTCCTGCCCAGCGCGGCCCTTGGCGTCCAGGACCCCGCGTCAGGGCGGGGCTCCGGGGAGGGGCTCCCCTGCTTTCCGGGCTCGGGGGCCATGAGCCTTCCAGCCCCCACTATTGGCCCCTGAAAACTGAGCTGAGGGCACAGCTGCACCTTCGTCCCCGACGCAGCGCCCGCCCGGCCCGGCCGAGGAGCCTGACCCGCCCGCCCCTGGCGCGTCTGGGGCGCTCCTGCGCCCCTCCGCGCCCCAGCATGACCTGGTGACTGTGCCGAGAGCCCGCGCGCGCCCGCGGACCTTCCCTGCACCCCTCGCCCCTCCTGCCCGGCCTCCTGAGCCTGGGGGGTCCCGCGCACTTGCTCAGGCTCCGGCCCCACTAGTGGACTCGGTCTGGGCGGCGGCGGCGGCTGTGCTCCTGACCATCAGTGGGCGACCCCGGCCCGCCGGGGGCCTCCTCCCATCAGTGGAGGCCCGCGGGGACCCTGGGGCTCGCAGGGGAAGATGCTTCTCGGCACAGAAGCCGCGCTCCCCGCAGGGGCCAGTCCCTGAAGGCGCCGCCCTGTCCCTGTTGTGCCCAGCGTCGACCAGTGCAGCCCCCAAGGACACACAGACAACCGCTGTAAGAACACAAAGGAGTTTATTACCGGCTGGAGACCGGGCCCTCGACACGCACTGATGTAACGGTGGAGGTCGGGAGCCCTAAACAAAGGATACAGGGATCTTATATAGGGATACAAGTAGATTTCTAAAAATTAAATCATGTTGGCAGTCATTCGTTACATAGGTGCATCATTCATTGATTACACAGGGGCATTTCTTAATAATGGTGGGTACACAGTTATTTTATGGCTAGTTTGAATCCGCCCCGCTCCCCGGCGGGCCCTGGGTCGGGAGCCCCGCGATCGGCGGCGGGAGGCGCGGCGGGTCCTGCGCGTCTGGGAGTACCGGTTGGGGTTGGGGTGCAGGTGCCGACTCCCTTCCAGCCTCCAGCAGTGCGTTCGGCCCTAGGCTTCCATCGCTTAAATTAAACAGACAAACAAGCATCTCCGGATCCGCCCCCCAACCCGCCGCAGCGCCCAGGGTCCGGGCAGGCACAGGCAGCGCATCAGCACCCAGGCCAGTCCCCTGCCAGGACTCCAGGACGGCCGCGGGCCGAAAGCCGGCACAGAGGTGGGCAGCGTGCCCCACACCTGAGGCAGCGGGTCTCCAAACCTCTGGGGTTGCTGTAAACCAAACATGGCTCCAGTCCTGGGGAGTCTGGGAGGGGAGAGTCCCGACCCTCCAGAAGGCCGCGGCCCGGAGCCTGGGCACGTGTGTGCTGGGAGGCCACAGCTCTGGCCCCGGGACTTGCTGCCCCCAAATTGGGAGCCCTGTCCTTCTGTCACCTGGGCCTCGGGTAGGAGAGGGGTGCAGGGGGTCCAAGGGGGGCCTGAAACTTAATCCCAAAGTCCAGGGAGGCTCAGGCGGCCCCGTTCTGGAGCTGAGGTTCCACTCCAGGGAGCCGCCCCTGTGGGCCACGGAGGGGGCCTCCCAGAGCAGGCCCTGGGTTTTCTGTCCCCCCCCCCTTCTTTCCAGCTAGCTCTACCTCCAGGAATTCTCCAGACTAGTCCCTGCGTCCTCAGCTGGGCGCCGAGACCATCTCTGCTTCCCCCTCCATTGCAAGAACCAAAAGGCCAAGCGGCCAGCACCCCTCCGGGTGCCCAGTCTTCCTTTGGCCAAGTCGGGGGAGCCTCCCCACAGGGGTGAGAGGAGAGTGCACCCGGGAGCAAGGGCCCCTCCCAGCTCTGGCCTCCCGCTGGGGACCAGCGCAGACTGGTGGTCCGGGCCCCGGGGCAGTTCAGGATCAGGGAGGCGGGGCCTCCATGTAAATGAAGGGAGGGAGCGTTTACGCTCAGCTACCCCGCTTTTTCTCTGAGCAGAAACCCCGGAGGGCGAGCAAAACTTAATTGGAATCCAATAGAGCTCCGAGCCCCGCGCCCGAACCCCTACGGGCAGTTTTGGGAGGACGTGAGGAGCTGGGAGGGAAGCGGCCAGAGCCAGGTCCTGTGGGCGCTCCCGGGCTCGCGGCTCCCAGCCGCACGGGGCTCCCTGGCCGGAGGCGGGGGCACAGCAGGGCCAGCTCCGACCCCGCGGGCCCAGACTCTGCCCCAGCGCTGCCCCGCGTCCCTTCAGCGCAGAGCTGCGGGCTCTGGGGGCTGCGGGGCGGGACCCGTGCAGTCTCACTGCCCGCGCTGCTCTGGGCACCCGAGGTGGGGACCCCCTTACACAACGCCCGCAGCCTGCGTGCAGCCACGCCGCAGGCCGGCCTCGCTCACGGCACCAGCCAGAGCAATTAAGGCAGCGGCGGAGCCGGCCCCGGGCGGGCCTCGGGCGGGAGCTGCTGCGGCGCGTCTGCCCCGCCGCCCCCCGCCCGGCGCCCCCGCCCGCCCCCCGCCGCGGCCCGCGGGACCCGTTGGCCAGGCCTGCGGGGCTCGGGCCGGGCAGGGCCTCCTGGCGGGCGGGCAGCGTGTGCGCCCTGCCTGGGGGGCCCCAGCCCAGCTGCCGCGGGGGCTCCGGCAGGGAAGGGGCACAGGGGGGTCGGGCGCCCCAGGCGAAGGCACAGGGTGTTCCCAGGGGACCCGGTCAGCCTCTCAGCCGGCGAGGCTCGGCCGCCCCCAGCCTTTTGGGGGGCCGCGGGGGGCGCTGGCGCAGAGTCAGGGCCTGGGGAGGACGCGTGGGCCGAGGCCCCGCGGAGGGGGTCAGCGCCGCACCCCGCGGCGCCCCCAGGCCCTGCCCGCGGCGCCCGCGCCTGTCACAAGCGCTCAGCGTCCCCATTAGCGCTGCTGTTGCCCCCGCCCTGGCGCCGCAGTGCGGGGTCCCCCGGCCCGCGCAGGAGGGCGGCCTGGACGCGGCCCGGAAGGGGGGGCAGGCGCCTCCCGCCCGTAAAGGGACCCCTTACACCCCGCCCCCCGCCGGCCCCCCAACCCCTGCCGGCCGGCCCGCCCCC